TTTTGTCTTGCCAAAATATCTTTAGCTGCTCAAATTTATAGTAAAATTAATAATTAGTAATATTACTTAAACTATAATGAATCATATAAATGACTTTTGAGCATTTCAAGTATAATATTTTAAACAAATCAAAATTTCATATCATTGACAATGGATTTTTTTCCCATATAAAAAAGTTTTACATAAATTGTACTACAATTAAGCATTTTTGTGTTTCCAAAGTGTTAAAATATTGTATTGTCACCGGGAATACGTGTGTATACAAAATTTGAGCTCGATTGGAGCAAAAGAAGTGGTCGAAAAATCGATTGCAAGATTTGACGCTCCATAACAGAGTGAGTTAAATAAAAGCGTGTAATAAAATAATAAAAATCAAGGAATAGAAAAGAATATTTTTGTATTCAACAAGATCACAATACAAAGATTTCCATTTTTTATAGACTTAAAATGTAAACAAATTTCGCATGCAGTGAGGAAAAGGGGAAGAAAAGTCATTCACAGATACTTTAGTTGAGAACTTTCGTTATTTCTTGCTAGTCAATTGTGTTAAGAAACTGTCGTGTCTTTTTGTCCTTAAAATGTTCATTTGTCATAACGGAACATTTATAAATTGTGTTAAACTTTCAGGAAGCGAGGTGGGTTTGAACACTGTGCGACTGTTGAAATTTTGAAAAAATTGGTCATGCTCTATCAGGACAGCTAGCAACTTTTACCAGACACAATGAGATATTCCTCCCAACTTGTTTACACTTTCATTCCCAACTTGTTTTTTTCTTCCTCTCATAGTTCAAAAAGTTGAATAACAGAACTGCATAATGCTTAAAATTAGCAATCTCGAAAAACGATTTCCTCGTAGCTTGAGAGTTCATTAAATATTCAAGAATATTTTCCATTGATTTTTTTTCGTTCCCTTCTCAACTCTCTTTCTTATTTCCTTTGTCGAGAACAAAAATTCTTTTCTTTACTTCTTTGCTGTAAATCTGTGCATGTTATAGATGTAAATCCCTTAGTAAAAATTATTATACCCAAAAGACCATTGCACATGAAAAATTTTCTTTACTTCTTTCTCGAATGAAAAGAATCAAGAAGCTGTAAGTTAAGGGATGTTGTAAGAGTTTCTGACAAATAGAAAAGTTTTTGCTTCATGCAGTTTGTACAGACGAGGAATTCTTAATGTGTTGAAAATTAAATGAAAACATGGACATCTCTTGTTATCATGCTGATGAGATTTCAAAGCCTTTTAGGCAATTTTTTGACATCGGTGTGAAGTTTTAGGAGATTAAATGGAAATAATAAACTATCAGAAATAATATATTGAGTATCAAATCTGATCTTTAGTAGGAATCACCAGTAATCACTAACACTCCTCTGATTTTTTCCGCTTCTATCCTTATCCTTCTCTATAGCCCCCCGCAAAAGCAAAAATCCTCAACAATTTTAAAGCAACTTTGTAATGAATTTAATTAATTTTCATGCTGTAGTCATGAATTTTTCAAAACCTAGAAAATTCTTTTTTCACTTCTTCAGCATTTGCGGCAAGGGCAATGCCGCGGTGAATACTCACAAGAGATTTAATTTTCATGTTCGCAAATTTTTCAGGCGTGAAATTTTCTCTCCCTCATCCTCCCCCAACTCTCAAGTCAACCATTATTTTTTAATGTACCACGCTCGGTTGGAGCATAAGAGTGAGACAATGAAACTTTAATTTTTAACTTTACAGCATTTTTTTGCATTCTTTTACGAAAACACTTATCTTTGTGAGTATGCCATACCAACTTATTGTCATATCGTAAATTTTATATGAGGCTCAAATCGTATTTTTTCATTCGGTGGAAGGTTAACGTAAAATAACAATAACGAGCATCTGTAGCAGATTATTTTTAACAATTTTTTTGTGTCACCTTTTTTCAGACCAAACGGTAATGGCTGGATGAAAAAAAGTTCACACAAACTCCCACACAATCACTACAAATTACTACATCATATGGTTTTATTGTTTCACATTCACTTGAAATGATAAAGTTTTACTTGTGCTTTGGCAAACATTTTTGTTCATTCCTGTCAGAAGTTTTTATTTCATTTGTTCTTTTTTGACTTTTTTTGTCGATAATTGATTTGGTTAATTTGATGAAATTAAGATTTTTTATGCAATTTAAAGCCTTTGAATAGCCAGAATTTCGTTTCATTTATAATCTGTTTTGCCAAATAATTTTTAAAATGAATAAAATCACTTTAACTGCTTAGTTCATGAGCTTCAACTTAACTCATGTCTGTAAAATGCTTTCATTCATAGAAAATAAAACAATGCGTATTCATGCAATTCTGATGTATGTAAAGAAGATAATGCAACAATGATACCAATACAATGCATTTCTTTATTGTTTCACGTGAAGAGAAGCGAAAGGGGAATTATTTGAACAATAAAGCGAGTCTAGTGGGATCATGATACTAATTTTTTTACTGCATTTTACCTAGATTTTGATTGAAATTTGAATGAGAAATGTTCATGAATGAAAAAAAAATATTTTATTGAAAATACAATAATAATCCACATGTATGAGCCGCAATTTATACAAATAAATAACGAAATGAAACTTTTAAAACCACAATCTGTCAATAAAGCTCTATTTTCATTTTATGATTATTTTTATGGCTGTTAATAGGGCATTACAATTGAATTATTTTCACATATCCCTACTACTATTCAGCTAAATACGATGGTTTTTGTATCATTAGCAATAATGAGAATTGATTAAATATTCATGTAATTGAATAGTTGAAGCTTACTAGTAGATTAATTTTCAACAAGTTGCAATTTGTTGATTTTTAATGCTGATTTTTTCAGTTGAAAAATTGGTCTTTAATTAAATTGATAACATGAAGATTTTTTCGCTATAATTTAGTTCCATTTTTGCGTAATTAGATTCATGAATGTGACAGGCATAAAGCTGACGCATAAATTCAATATACAAAATGTGAAAGGATTTTGATGAACTAAACATCATGGAAAATTTGTTCTAGTTTTGATTATTAATTTAGTAAATTGATTACCAGGTTGAAGTTTCATATTTTATGTATTTTCTAAATTAATTTTCGAAACGGATGTAAAGTTAATCAAATAAAATGAGTAAAGTAATAATCTACATAAATCTTCAGTTCCAGCTAGTAAAATAAAACAAATTACACAATATTGATGAATTACTCACGCAGGTTAATCATCGGTCACAGACGAAATTTGATATTAATTCTATGATTTTAGGTGAAAGGTCACACAGATAATTATGAAACATTTTATTTGATAATTCGATGATGTAATCTCGTACATGACAATGAAATTACTTATTAATTATGTATTCAAATTGCGTTAATTAGAACTTAATTGTGAAAATAACTATCTAGGTTTTTGAGATCAATCACTAAAAACAGTCACTGTGCCAGCGTGGAGTTTAAATTTTTATAAATTAAAATTAAATGAAAACTAAATCCAATAGAATTTAATAAAAGTTAAAATTTGATTATTATTGTTGATCCTGAAGCTATGCAATTAAAAATCTCCTGAATTCAATGCACAATCATAAACTTTTACTGATTTTCTACAAAATTCCAACTTTTATCTCATCCGAATCTCTATAAAATTAATTTCCTTTTTCAGTCACAAAACAATAAATTAATTCAAAATTTACCCGACAAAAATATCTAGTCACTAAATAAATTCATCCTAATTCCACTCTAAAGCACTGCAAAAATTCTCATAAATTCGTTTCAACTCGATTTTATGATAATGCAATGACTGCATAGTCTTTCCACTTCATAACATTATAATTGTATCACAATATTGTACAGTGGCATTGAAATCAGAAGAGAGAAAAACTGAATGCAGAGTGGAAAGGGAAACTGAAAAACTTTTATCACACTTTTCATTGTTTATGAAAAACAAAAAAAAATTATTTTTCACACTTTTCATTCCCTACGAATTGCATATTTGCACAATTGTGTACAATTAAATTTTAGAGCTTTATAGTGGTTTTTAAACTGTACATTGTGCATTGTTGGAAAAGATAACAAACCCAATTAATTTCGTTATATATATTTTTTGTTGCTTTATATTGCACACACACACACAAGTGTATCTAACAATTTGTACAATGACCATAGGTCATGAAGAGAGAGTAACAATTTGCATAAATTTGTAGGCTATGGAATGACTAGTCGGGGTCAATTCACTTTCGCAGTTAAGGATACATAAAGTATTTAAAGTGAGCGTGTAAATGTGCAATAAATTCTTAATTTCTGTCAAAATGTTTTTTTTTTGCTGCTTCTTTAAATGCTTAAGATTGCCTTTGTGGCAATTTTGAGAGAATTTGCTCTGAAATTTGGAGATTTGACTTTATGATCTGCTTTGATCGTTGATATTCAATTAAAGCGATGTGTTTAAATTAAAAAGCTATGATTAAATATCCTTACAAAACCTTTGGTAATTAAATTTACTTTAGCAACTCCACTTCAGGAATTTTTAATCAAAAATTTTTCCACAAGGAAAAAAGTAATTTAACACAAATTTCCCTCCAACAAAAAGCCACAAAGGCAATTGAAATTTTATGCTCATGCTGTTGCATAATTTAATTCCATAGCATTTAATTTTTCAGCTTTTTCAGTGGTAAACAATTGTGAGTAAAAATAAAAATCCACTCATTTGAGCATAACATAACATTGCAATCCGTGGATTACTGGTTGGAGAAAAAAAAAACAAAAGCAGATGAAATGAATTAAAAGGCACAAAAAAAGTATCAGCATTGAAACCATCCATTTGAAAGCAACAAACACTTTAAATTTAAATATTTGATGATGTTCATCCACTCATAACGTGCGAAAATTGCGTTTAATTTTAATGAAAATTTAATTTTCATCAGGAACATGTGAGCATAATTTCGTTTATGTACCACAAAAATTTATAAATATATATATATACATTTTATTTATTTATTTCGGAGGGAACCTACATTGCTGAGTAGAGCACAAACACTAAATATTTGGTCGGGATTTATGTTAATAACAATTGTTTGTCCGCTATACTTGCTGTTGATTTAAATTGAATATATTTTTTCTATCAATTCACATATTAATCCAAACATACAAAAATTCCTTCTCGATATTTGAATAAATCCACACTCAAACACATAATTCAATTCAAATTTTATGTTTTGCGGTTAAAATTTTCCAGCGGCATTATCATCACGATCCGGGATTTATTATTATTATTTTATATTAATTTAATTTTCATTATTTTCATTTAATTTTGAATTCTTTTTTATTTCACACAATTCGAGCCTGACAATAATATAAATTTGTAAACACAAGTCAGGACAGGCAGAAAGAATATTTTCTTTAATTGTTTTACGATCGTTTATTGAAACAACACACTCCGTAGCTCAATCAATGAACAACTAACAATGCAGTTTTCATTTATTCCGAAAGGCTATATTTTTCCATCTTCATTCCACACAACACAATCCAGCACGAACGAATTCCGAATTTCCCCTTCGTGAGCTTTTCGAAAATTGTTCCTGCTTGCTTGCCGTTTGATGTACAAAAAGAATGAAAAAAAAAATAGCAACTTCTTCTTCTTCGTCCTCCGTTCTCGAGAGATGAATCTTTATAGAACTTTTTTTTCTTTTATGAAATGCGAGGAACAGAAAAAAAAACGACGAGAACTGTGAGAAGGCGTTTACATAAAGCATTTTTCAATTTTTTTTCCTTTTCGCCTCTTATAAGTTATGTTGGTGCTACTATGAAAAAATTCTCATATTTTAGTGCAAAGGCAAGCTTAACTGCTCTACATTAATCATTCATTTTTAGAAGCTTCTCTTTTATGTTTCTCCATTCAAAAGCAATCAATTGATTTTCAGGGAATGGAATGTCCAAGAGGGGGCTGACGATTGTTGTTTTTCAATTCCTGAAATAGTCGAAAGCTCGCTGGTTTTTCGATCTGATGTCTAAATGTTAGGTAAAGCCAATCGCAGTTTTACTTGTCACTACGAAGTTCTATTCTCGTCACATGCTGCACATATTTCCACAAAGTCTCATTCCCCCTTCAAATCTTTTCAACAATATTCTTCGAAAAATTTTATCGGTCATCAAGTTTAAATTTTCCAAGATTTGCAGTTCATCAACCAGGTCATAGATTGAATAAATGTTAAAAAGGCCAAAAGCAGCTGTTGTCTTCAAGCAAATAACAACAACTTTTAATTCCCAAAAGTATTGTGACTACGATAATGTACAGACACACTCACAAGATGTAAAAGGGAACGAGATGTGTGTCAATGTCAAGGAATTATGTAATTTATGGATTATTTACGCTTCCTAGACTCTCTGAGTGACATTAAATTTACAAAACTTTAAAGAGACAAACTTTGTTTTGTTTACTTTATTGGGAAATGAAAATTTCTGTCGTTTGTTTAAAAAGGAAATAAAATCGATAAGTCAAAGGGAAGAAATAGAAGCCCAAAAGATGAGAATCTAGCAAAAGCGGGATGTCTGTAGGAAGTTATTGTAGATAAGAGTAAAAGTTTGCTAAAATAATCGATGATTTGAATAAGAATTGGAAAAAAATTTGAATTTTACTTCAAGAAAGCCGCTTGGGGTTTGCCTTCATGTTTGTTTTGGTTTTGACTGAATGCTGTTTATTTTATGGATTCACATTTCAATTCAAATCATTACTGAACAATCCTTAATTATTTAGGAATCATAAAAAGCTGGTAAATGACAAAACTGAACTTGACTCATTTAAAGAGAACTCATTTTTACTATAACAACAATTTTAGCTACACTAAATTGAAAAATGCTCATATACAAATCATAATCTTACGATAAATTGCTCCATGGGATTATGAATTAAAATTTGAAAAATTCTTCTTCTTGGCTCTTTATTTAAAAACCATTGACTTTATCTATTGAGTTCAAGTATTAAAAATTTCATGTCTATCAATTTTAAATCTCACACTTTCAAAAAATCTATTTCAATTGATTCTGACATAGTTTGTCGATCTACAAAAAAAAGAATTTTTTGTCAAATATCCTCCTTTTTGGAAAAGCAAAGAAAAGCAGCACAAAAAGAAAGTTTAGACTACCAACTTCAAGTGATGTTCTCGTCTCTCTTTCTTTTTTGCTGAATTGAAAAAAAAATCTTTCATCACTTTGTAAACATTTCAACACATAAAATGGAAGGAGCAAGAGATGGTTGAGATCTAAAAAAGGAAAAAAGTTTTGTTTGAAATAACTTTTCATGATGGAAGTAATTTCTGTAGCACTTTTCACTCCACATCTAGTGTAAAGAACTAGAGAACGAATAAAGAATCTAATTAATCTAATTTAACAGAAGCAAAATTCAATTAGAAATAGCTTCTTTTAAGTTGGTGACATGTACATATAATGGTTATTTCAAAAAATACTGATGGGAAAAGCAATAAAATAAAATAAGATTGGAACTTACTAGGTGCGAGATAGAAAATGTTAATTTAATTTACACCTTTCGGGTTTAGAGAATCTAAAGCAGTTATAAAAGAAGGTCTAATTATAAAGAGGACATGCAGAGAAGATTATCTTTCTGTATTTCTGTAACGAGAAAGGTAAGGTACACGAAATTACAAAAATATTTGAATACACTGCTCCTTCTTTCCTTTTTTACAACTTTAGATTATTGAAGTAGTGAAAGATTCTATTCATTGTATATGGTCCAAGGGTGTGGAACTGACGAATTGATCAAAAAGATCAAAATTTAATGTAGCTAAGGATGACAAATTGGGTTAGAATTGACTAGGATTCATTTTTTCAAATCATAAAACCTACAAAAAAGGACGCTTTAACAACCTCAATTCCCACAAAATTATCAAACATCCTTCCTTGCGATAATAAATTTAAAATTCCACTGAATTTATAAACATCTCTGACTCGATATAAAAAATAGAAATAGAAATAAACACACAGCGAGCGGGAGAAAAAAGAAGTCAAAACCGAAAAGACTTAAAGCCCGACTGTGTTATTTGTCAAGTTGTCTACAAATATTTCCGCTTTCTGTGTAAAATTTACGTTCCCATGCCTTTCGAGAGAGTACGAATGAAAAAAAGTGGAATTTGAAAGCTTTTTATCAGCACTGTCGCAAAATAAAAACGAAGAATTTCTACCGCATTAAAGTCGAGCGAATTTGCTGTTGAATTTTTTAATATTGTTGCAGCAAAAAGTGCGGGTTTTGTAAAGTAATAAATCTATCATTGTACAGTTAATATGCACACAATACTAGATAGTGTGTGGACGATTACTGCAAAATACTTTTCTCTTAGCGATACAAAAACGGAGGGGGTTGAATAACTTAGTGGAAAAATACACATTAAGTTAAAACTTTGCAGACGTATTTGAAAAAAATAAGCAGGTTTACAATTTTTAGATATTGAAAATTTTAACTTTAGCCGATCATGATGTCCCCCTTAAAACAAACTATTTAGGTTGAAGCATTCCCCATGTCATTTAGTTTAATATGAAAATATATATGTTTGTAGTTTTAGTCACCCCAAAAACAACTATAGTGTGTACAGCAACTAGCATGAAAACAATACAAAAGGATACAAAATTTGAAGTGAAAACAGCTAAGAGAAAAAAAAATATTTAAAATGAACTTCAAATTGGGGTTGAATAAATAAATGTCTTGCTTGTTTGTTTATTTAGGCAGAAAACCGCTTATGAATCTTACACTTTTGTGTCTATGGCATGTAATAAGTCTTTATTTCCTTTCATATAAACTTCAGAATTTTTTATGCTTCATAAGATTTATGTTTTGAGAAAAATTATTTTTTTTATATAAATTTTCTATTTCTTCAAGAAAGCAACGGAAGGGTTGAGAGTGACTTGCTATTTTCTTGATGGATTTTTATTAATTGAAATGTTTCATGAAGAACTGTTAGATGAGGTATGAAATGCACATTTAATTTATTTAATGATTGTGGATTATCTAAGCTGGGAATCGAGATGGAGATTCTGTTGAATGTGATTTTTACAGCTTTGTTAAATGCAAGTTCAGCTTCCATTCACACTCTTTTAGCAGCAGCAACGCATCAAGGAAAATAATGAGAATCATGATTTTAGACCTTTTGACATCTAAAATTTTTACTTTGATGCTTCAGTTCCTTTAAATTTGACTTTTTTAATTTCGTTTGTTGAGTACTTGGAAATTTCATCACAGTAAACATTTTTGGGTTTTTTTTCTTAGCAATTTTTGCTCTGTCAACCCCCCCCCCCCCCCCCCCCCCCCCTGGTAATTTCCGAACGATCCCTAATCGAGAATCTAAAATACATCCATATACTATACATTGTCACTTCTATATAAAACATTATTTTCTGCAATTTTCACAGCTGCACTGCAAGATTTTCATTTCATCTTTATTGAACTTTTTAATTAAAATTGGAAATCCAAACAGCAGCAGCAACTTTTGATGAGACTTGATTAAATCGCGCACACTTGAGGCTTTGATAATTTTTCTCGTTCCCGTCCTCATCCCCACCATTCAAGTTTAATTAAATGTGACTTTTACGTTATTGGCATTTATGACTGTGCAGAAAGATTATAATGAAATTGTCACTTCCGATGATATTGTGAAATTGATCTCGACGAGATGAGGGAAAAGTTTTCAGTTCTGATTTATTGAAACGCTTCCAATTGGAACTTTGCAAACTATTCATCTTCGGTCTCTCGCTCTCATGAGAAAACTGGGAAACTTTAAAAAAAAATGTTTAGCTGTTCTTTATTTGTTCTTTTTTTCATCATTGGCAACGGCTTGGTTCTTTGGCTACACATGCTAGACATGTCGAGATACATCACGCTTGAAAAACATCACGTATTAATGTGTACTCAACTATTTTTCTTTCCTATGTGATCAGGAATTGATGCAGGGATTAGATTTACTAGGAGTGACTGTTTAAGATGTTTAACTGGATGTTGAAGCTAGTGGTTTAGAATTTTATAGCCAAAACTTACAGTTTAGTATTTGTTTTAAGCTTAAATGTCTTGGAAAAACTAAATTTCAATTTTTGCTCATTTTGAGATTCAGGTTTTATAATCTAAAGATCTAACTTTCCCAACGAAGCTTCTAGGTTCAAAAATTTCTCTTTTTATTCCAAAGCATCACCACCTCTTTGACACCATCCAAAATAAAGCAAGAAAAGAATTTCTCAC